AAATCACTTTTGCATCCTCATTTATGTGAATAAATTCAAATTCTGCTCCAATGAGAAGATTTAAATCCACTTTCCCTCTTGTTGATATAAATAATAATAATTTACATTTTATTTTTTTACATTTTCTGCCGAAAAATGGAATTGGCATTTCATTTGCATCTCTCCAAATGAGAGGTTTCCAACTACTTTGAAAGCCTAACTCACAATTTAAATTTATTTTCACCACGATTTGAGATGTTCTAAGACATGGTTTTGGAATCTAGTTTGATTGGACGACCAGGTCAGTAAATTGGGCATGATCCCTATCTAGTTAACTCGAATTTCATTCAAACCAACCATCTTTAGAAACCTATCAAAGATCCAAGAGGGAGACCTTCATGTCCGACTCAGAGGACGAGGATATCTCACCTCCCATTATCATAATGCATCTCTCTCATGATCAAATTCTTACGGAACCATTCTCATTCTTTCAAAAAAGGTTGTGCCTTGACTTTGTGATTGATTATATTTCTGTCAAGTTTCCATTCAACTATAGCTATAGTATGGTGATACCATAGTTATTCAAATTGGACCAAATTGGCCAATTCAGACCGAGAACTCTCGAACCATAACCAGTCGAGATCTGGCTGGTTTGGATGGATTTAAGAGTAACTTGAACCGGTTCAATGTGGTTAACCAAGTGCAATGTAATTTTTTTTTTTTCCCAATTTGCATAGGTAGTTATTCGAACCTTAGCATTTAAGTTGGATTTTCGGGTCCTTAAAACATTTTGGAAACTAACGAGTCTTTACACTACTATGTTGGCCAAATATATATTCACATTAGAGAAATGGTTACCAAAGTACAATGTAAGATTTATTTTGTAATTGCAGTGGCAATGATTTCGAACCTCGGCTTCCAAGATTATATTTCACTTCCTTGGACATTTGGGAAACTCATGAACTTTGGTCATATACTAAGAGCCAAACATGTATATTTAGATTTAGCAAAATAGTTTTCTTTTTAGTTCAAAAATATGTATTAATTAAAATTAGGATCTAACAATGACACACGGGTTCAACCGCTGACCCGGTGATCCGATGATTTTTCCGAGTCGACTATCGGGTCGGGTTTAATAACTATGGGTGATACAATATATCCAACTTAGTAAGAAAGTTATAACATCGAAACAAGAAGTAATTCACTGGTCCAAGCAGTGTCCTAACCTGTCAATCCGGACTTTGCCAAGTCGGGTACGATAACTATGGTTTATGTACGAATAAGACTATTTCCTTCTGTAGAATATGTAGCGTTATAATGTAATAAATGGGAAATGGATGAAATCATCTGGCCAGCACAGCCCAATACCAGCACATTCAAGATAGGCTAAGCATGGCATAACTTACACCTCTTTCGCTAAAAAATCATAATAGAGTACACAAGTACATATTACTGTACTAGAAATTGGTTGCAAGTTCAAGATATTGTATGTGCAATGGGTAGAGAATTAAGCAAGAGACAAAAACTCTCTCAGTTTACATACAGTACGCCGTTTTCAGAAAAATATATATCATGCAAAAATGTAATTTGGTGTATACAAAACCATGTGCCTTCGTTTAGTTCATGACATGATAACAAGAGCAAAGTAACACCTGACAGAACAACAAATTTTCTTTAGGACAAAATAAATACTAAGAGTTACACTAAGCAAGTTGTACCTTGAGATGAAAGATCTATAAAAGCTTAAAACTATGTAGTGGAAAGACTGTGAACTGATTTCTGTCTTACCTTGTAGTTGTTAATACGGTAAGAATTCACTTTTACAAGCCAAAATTGCATGCCTGCACGAATTCCATCTCATCATCAACATATTTAGTCCAGAGATGCTTATAATGGTTCATAGCAATATCCAGCCATGGCTTCATGTCTCCATTGAAATGGATGACAGCAGCTTTATTGATTTCATCCATACTAATACTTGGATTGATTCCAAGGTCCAGAACATGCCATGTTTTATCCAATGACTTGGTTGTTGAGTAAAATGTAATCAACCCAGCCGGTAGTGTGCCTAATTTCCATAAGGTTTGATCCTCATTCTGATCAATCAAAAAGAAAAACTTTCCGTAACTAGCACGATAACCAAAAAAAAATTGTGCTATATTTTATTTCAAAAGGAAAAGAAGGGAAAGGTAAAATCAGGAAAGCATAAACCATTTACCAAATTCTGCCAGTAATGATATTGCTCAGTGCATTTCTCATTTCGCCAAGCATCAAGGTCGAACATATTCACTCCAAAAGCCCAAGCACAAGCCCTTGGATTGAACTTCTCCTTGATGAGAGGGTTAGAAAAGTTCAAATATTCAGCATAACGACGGAAAGACCCAAAGCAAGTGTTAACTGCTAAGTTCACCTTTCCGTCCATATCAATTCTCCACAAGGCAGTTAAATCCTTCTGAACTACAACGTCATCATCCAGAAACAAGATTTTGTGTAGCTTTGGGTACAATTCTGGCAAGTAGAACCGCAGGTGATTCAGCATTAATAAGTACTTGGGGTTTCTAAATTTCATGTTGTTCATGTCTTTAGTGGAATTCTCTGCCCTGTTTGTAAAGTAAAACTTCTGCAAATTTGCAGACTTGACTTGTCTAAGAACTGGCACATATGAGGGAATCAAGAACTTGTAATCATCCACCGCTTTGATCTCAATATGGGCTCCCCCTTGTATCGGCCTCATCTTAAACCAAACCTTTGTTGCAGCCAGATTCATCCTATCAGTAACGATATGAAAAACATGCTTCTCAGGTTCCTCTGCATTCTTAACAACTGAATTCACCACCACAGAGATTGCAATCACATTGTCGGAAAATATAGCATAATGGTATAAGCTTGGATCCTCAAACTCAGGCTTCGGTTCATCATCCGTGTACTTTTCAGGATGTGCAATTCTCTCCTCCATGAGCCGCATTGCAAGACAATGCAAACTCTTGGGAGTCGATTTTGCAGCAATCGAGCTCGTAAAAGCCCCATTCTTCTTGGCCTTCAAAAGCGACTCATTAACAGCAAATATTGTATCTTTCAATTTCTGAATCTTTAACTGAGTGTCATAGGACTCCTTGGCTTCTGCAATCATCAACCTAGCAACCTTGATTTTATCCTTGACCTCCTTTTCAAACTGCCTCAACACGTCCTCATCAACCGGCCCGTCAGATTCAAACAATGCTAAGCGATATGTTGGCTTCAACTGAAGGTCCGAAAAATTCTTAGCCAAGTCATCAAACATCTTAAGCTGCCTAGAGATCTCAAGCTTGAGCCTCCTAGCATAAGTGAAATATGCATTCACTAAGGCAATATGATTATTTGCTTGATTATATATCAAATTTAACCTTGTCTTTGACGGATCGGACTGCAGTGCTAGAAATGTTCGGCGTGCATATGCATTTCCTGAAGTCTCCATCACCTGTTAATTTAGTAAACGCCGTCTATTTAAATTCACATCCAGATACAATTAACATTCCTTATTCTCATTAATCCTCTTCATGATGCAACTATAAACTAGTAAAGTCTTCTGATCATATGCCCCAAATAAACAAACACGTCTCTATTATTTTATACAAACAAAATTGACACCCAAGATCAGTTCATAGATAAATTTAACATGTCAGCTAAATTTCCAATAAAATGTATACTTTCCCGATGATCTGGACAATTAAATGGAACAGAAACGATAAAATAGAGTCAGAAATTGATACGTTAAAATAAACCATCTCAAGCACACAGACAAAAAAAGCAGTTATTAATGTAGTTCACAAAATCTAAAGCAGCCAGAATTTTGACAAATGGATTCAATTTTCCTTCCGACAGGACTGTCTCTATTAATTACTCATCGAAATGTCATTAAACGCATCCATATCGTATAAAGATATATACAACATAAAGACAAGATTTAATTGAGTATACAAAAACACACACAAAGTAATTAAACGGGAAATGGCAGAGCTTACAGAGTCAGGGTGAGAAGGGTACGAGGTAAAGAGCACGGAGAGAGTAGCGAGAAAGAGGAGAGTGAACATGGCGGACACGAAGATCCTGTAGCTGAAATAGTTACGGAGCCCGGATCCGCCACCAGATCCAACTCTTCCGCCGCGGACAGCCACCGCCATCACGATCGCCGGACGGATTTATCAAACTGACTACAATAACTGTATATATGTATATACACAAAAGAATTGCAAATACTCGGTTTATATTTGCAATAGAGCTATCTATGTAACGGTGAGCTATAGATACATGAGGTTGTGTGCATTTTCGTATGGAAGGAGTGTTACAGTGAGAGAGAGAGAGAGAGATCTGAGCAGAGGAAGAAGAGCGGGCTCCAATAATGAATTACAGTTTTAAGTAGATCTTGTCCATTATTATAGAGGAATTTATTTATCACCTATTCGATCTCCATCAAAGAGTTTTTTTTTTTTTTTTT